CTGTTAATACAGGATACACTGTAATTGTGAGCGGTACAGAAAGCAAGTTGATTAGATTGCACATGTGCAGTCTGGAAAACCTCACCTTAGGAGGAATCTGAAGGACTGGCTTCCATTTTTTTCAAGCAGAAAGACTATATGAGTGCTTGAAAAAAAAAATCTAGCCAGGTTTTTTTTTTTAATAAAAAAGCAGCAAACAATGAATATTGACTATGCATAGTTAATAAGAAGGACTACACTAGCACAGCTCTAATTTATAAAGGGATTACTAGAAAAAGATGTTGGATGAAATACAAATCTATTACAGATACCACTATATTATAGAATCATAGAATGGTTGGGGTTGGGAGGGACCTTAAAGCTCATCCAGTTCCAACCCCCCTGCCAGCAGCAGGGACACCTTCCACTAGAGCAGGCTGCTCAAAGCCTCATCCAGCCTGGGTTTACATTCAGAGAGGGGGGAAAAAAAAAGAGATACACTTCTAGGAATTTATCATCCAGCTTTATTTAGTAAACTTGAAACTGAGCAACATATCCATATTGGTCTGTAATGCAGGAATGGTTTCATGATGTTTTTAATAAGAAGTCTGAAATGTAATCATTTCCTGAGAAGACTTTAAAACAGAGCCCACCCCAGTCCCCATATACTGCTTTTGCAGCGTACCTGGCTTGGTGACACCACAAAAAGACACACAGGCTTCCAGTCAAAGTGAAGATCAACCTGTGATTCCTTGCTGGTTTATGAAATCGAGATAGATTTTTAAGCTGAAGTCATGAAAACTGGTGAAAAGGTTACAAAGATCAGCTTGATGGTGCTGAGATCTAAACCCAAAGGTCTTCTGAAAGCCAGCCTATGCCCGCAGATTGCTCTGAGGAGCTCACCCAAAGCGTACCCAACGCATCTTCAACTAGAAGAGAACTAAAAAGGAAATTTCAAACTTATTGCTGCATGTTTTCCAGCAGCAGACAAAACTACAGCCTGCTTTTCCATCTAATACATTTAGGATGCAAACCTAAGTCTGGAAAGAGTAATCACACCTGTATTTCATGGCTGCACAACCCACCCAGACAGGTCCATTGCGCTGCACTTGAACTGGATTTTATTACCAGTGCTAATGATAGTATTGGTAAGGATTTATATGCAGGAATACTCATGTGATAAAAAGGATTTTTTCTTTTTTTCCTGTTTCCTAGAATATCTAATATATAAAAGCACGAAAGGGTGAAGCTCAGTCTGGTAGCTACCTATACTTATTGTAGAAAGGTCACTTAAATTGTATTGTGTTTGAGATTAATTGGAACTTATTCTGAGCACCAAGATCCACAAATATATAAGGAATTAACTAGTTTATTAGAATAAACTTATTTATTAGAATAAACTAGTTGAGGAGAATGGCCTGAAGCACCAGAGGGAGTGGACATCACGAGTTACTGAGCAGACAGAACGGCCCACTCGCCAGAAGATCTGTTCTAGGGGAACAAAATCCAACAGAACAAGTAGCACAGATAGAAATAGCATCT